AAATTTAAAAGATGTAAACTTTGTTACTTCATTTTCCTCCATTCCCTTAAAAAAAAAAGCTCCCGAACAAGGTGAATCTATTTTACTTCCTTCCCTTGCCCCTCACACACATCCATCCAAACAAATTATAAATTTTTTCTTCTTAGAAAAATTTCACGTGAGTTTTAGTGCAAATTCCATTGTAGAATTTGTCAAGAATAGAAGAAAAGGGAAAAAAAAAATTTAGGCAGGAGGTTTTGTTTTAAGGCTTTGTATTAATGGGAGAAAAGTTATTCGAAAGCTCTGGGAATTTCATAAAACTCTCCAAAGTTTAGAGGTTTCTCTAGTATTTAAAGATTAGAAACTTTTTATACAAATCCATTAACATTCATGGAGTTCTCTAAAAATTTACCATTAAGATTATGGTAATAGACAAACAATGTTATAGAATGCCCAATGTTCTGCTTTGTTTGCGTGGATTTTTTCCCCATTTTTTTTCATTTTTGGCAAAAGAAAAGAATGATAAAAACGAGTAAGAATTCTACAAGAACAGCAGGTAAAATATAAGATCATTAGCATCATTCACGGGTAGACAGAGAGTTAGTTTGGAAAGTTTAATTTTCTTTTTTTAATGGGTTAATATCTCCTTAATTTGATATGTGTGGGTTCTGATAAGGGGCTGTTTGGTTCATTTCCAAAAAATTATGGAAATGGATTCCCACATAAGAAGCCTATTCTGTAAAAATTTTAGGACATCAAAAGATTCCAAAAACTTTGTTTGATATGGAAGGATAAAATAAATAATAGGAAATGGTATCCAAAACTGTTGTTTGTTTCACCCTAAAAAAATCGGAAAAGCATCATGAGAGAAAGCATTTCTTGAGCTCTTTGGTGTTTGATTCAAAGCCATAGAATAGGATTTCAACCCCAAAAACTGTGTACACATACCTGTGGTATGCTTACCCCTCAAAAAATAATAGGAAATTTTGTATTGTTTGAATATAACCAAACCTCAAACACAATCAAGTATCACAAAGTTTTAAAAGATTATACCTTTGCTATGTTTTCGAGCAGATCCGAAGGGCCTTTAGGTGATTTCTTAAGTAGGAAAAGCTATACGAGAAATCAAGACGTCAGATCTGCAGAATAGGGTGAGGGGGTGAACCGAGGTCACTGATCTTCAAGACGTCAGATCTGCAGAATAGGGTGAGGGGGTGAACCGAGGTCACTGATCTTTAAGAGCAAATCGTATCGCAAGAACTACGCCGGCAAGCTACCTGAAAACCCCCAAAACCACACTGCAGAAGCCGTTGTAAACCTCCAAACCCTAAAGAAATTTCATCTCGAACTCAATAGCTAGGGTTCAGCAATGAGGAAATCAACATGGGGATCAACATTACACAAAAATATGCCCGCGTTTGAGCAAAAATTCGTTGATTATTTTTGTAAACGGCGGGAAGAGGAAGAGGGAAATGGCGAAGCGGGGGGTAACGAGAAGCGGTGAGCCCTTTCATTTCCAAAAAAACTCCCATTTCTGAGCTTTTAGACAGGATTTCGCCATTCCAAAAAAAACACTATTTGACAAGGTTTTAGGAAACCATTTCTCAAAAAAAAAAACGCAATTTTTGGATTTCTAAAACCACACAAATGTTACTTTTTGTTCCAAAAACCGGGTTTTCAAAAAAAAAACACCCTCAAACAAACAGCCCCTAAGATTCACGTTCAACCAAAATCCCCAAATTTAATTACGTCAGCAAAACTAGAAGATCACTCACACTTGCAAAATACAGCCATTTATAAGGTGCGTGTAAATCAAAACTTTTGAAGGGTATTTACGCTAAAGAGACGCATTCAATTTCCGCCACGAGTTTTATACATAAAATTACAATTTCTCTGCAGAATAAAGACTTCCCGGAAATTGCAACTCTGCTCTCAAATGGCGAACCCCCCTTCTTCCTCCAACCTCCCATTGGATTTATGCCAATTGTAGTTTTCCAAGTTGTCCTTATTGTGCACGTGTCACTCTGCGTCCAACTCCCTCCCATCTTTTTCCCCCCTCTTTCTCTCTGTTCGGTTTCACTCACTGCCCACCCCTCTTCTCCATCTCCCTTCAGGTGAGCAAAAGCTTCAATTTTGTTAGTTTTTTTCACTTAATCTCTGCAAATTTCCATCTTTTTGATGCCCAGTAGCTTTGATCTGTAGCCCTTTAGTCAGCTGATGCACATTGGGTACCTACTGCTACTTTTCACTGTTTTTTTTTCCTCCTCTAATTTTCTGGCAATTTGTAGCTGTTGTTAAAATTTCAAGTTGGGTGTTTAGAATTAGATGGGTCGATTAAATAAAATCAAGATCGGTCAATACATGATCAGCCCTTTCGCTCTTGTGATCATTTGCTGGAGTTCTGTGCAATGCACGTGTGAATTCTTGCGACGTTCTGATATTATTTAGCATTTTCATGGGTCGTGATTTTGATCTCCCCCAAAGTTCATTTTTCTGATGCCCAGTACTTTTGATCTGCATTAGTTCAATCAGTTGATGCGCGTCGTCTGCTTTACTGTTGTAAAGTTCAATGATTTCCTGTTAATTATGGGTGTAATTACTGATATTATGGATAGACGGTACACAGGTCATGCTTGTAATCTCATAGTTGATTATTTTAGATACTGATTTGTTTAGATCTGGTGAGGAAAGAGTTTAAACGGTAATTATACCTCAAACATATTGTGTTTATGGGCACTTTTCTTGAGCTTATACTTAATTTCGCCGAGCTCAAACGATATATTTTCTGAGGGAATGAACTTGATGGGGATGACTTTGGAATTGAAGCTGAATGCAAAGATTTTTGTCTCCCTTATTTTTCTTTTCTGGCATGCTTGTTCTGAAATGAACTACGCTATAGGAATATTTTGTTCTCTTAAAAGTCTCTTCACGACACCAAACATCCAAATTTGTGGCGTGAGTTGACGTTGTAGTTTTACGTTCTAATGCATCCCCATGGTTAATCACCCCAAATATGTATCAAACCTGACTTTTGCATAGTGATATTTTTAGATGCACGCCTATTGAAATTGAACTTTATGCAGTATTTTAAATCATAAATCCTTGTTTCTGCACTGAAACTCTGGAGGTATTTACAATTTTGTTATCAAACAACTAACATGTTTCAGTATAGATTTGTCCGAATCTTTCAATCGTTTTCCCTGATGCTCCATCTCCACCGTGTCAGGATTACTTCCCACTCTTTGCTATTTTTATTTCCTTTAGTAACTGTGTGTTTTCTGATTCAAAAAAAAAATACTTATAATTCACGATGGTGATGAGAACATTGTGGTTGGAATGGAGCACTTGCATTTTCATAGTGCTACTAGATGCTACTTGCTGATAATTTTTACTTTCCCCGCTAAGTTCTGCCATCTTTTTCACCGGGTCTATTCTCTCGCTGATATTTTTTTTCTCAGCTTCATTTTTTCCAAGTTTTTATGGATGCATTCTTGAAACATGTGCAACATGTACAAAAACTTAAGAGCAGAAATGGGGATATTACGATGGAGTTGTGAATATACACTGAAAGATAGGATGAGAGTTTGTGTGTAGGTTAGAGGTCGCTCCTATTGAGAAATAAAATGAGATAAAAAAACATTTGACATGGTATAGCCGTATACGTGGAGGTGACAAAATGTAGGAAAGATGATAGACTTAAGCTGATTAATTTAGTGGAGGTGGCAGCCCTAAACAGAAGTGAACGCAAGAATAGGATTCATGTAATTATGGATAAAATATGAATTCTCTCTTCCAACTGGTTCTTCTGCGTCATCAATTTCAGACTCCAGTTCCATGGACCGCTTGGAGCTTCCAATGGTGTTGCCCTTCCCTGATCAGCAGCTATCCGTTCAGCTGCAGGCATTCTGGGAGAACCAGAAGACTGATATCGAGAACCTGGAAGAAATGAAGAACCACAGCCTTCCGCTTGCCAGGATCAAGAAGATCATGAAATCAGACGAAGAAGTGAGGATGATCGCGGGGGAGGTGCCCGTGCTGTTCTCTCGCGCGTGTGAGATGTTCATACTGGAGATGACGATGAGGGCGTGGAGCAACACCGAGAGGCACAGGAGGAGAACTCTTCAGAAGTGCGATGTAGCCGCTGCTGTTGCCCAGACTGACATCTTCGACTTCTTGGTTGATATCGTTCCTAGAGATGATGTTAAGGAGGAGGAGGCGCCTGCTGAGGCACCAGTTTCTTACTGCTTTCTCCCGGGTCAGCCGGGGGTGACTTTGGTGGACAACGGGTGGGAGGTTGAGGAGAGTGGTTCTAAGTCAGATGGTGAATGATGATAATGTGCATGTTCTGTGCGAGTGTGTGTGTGCGTACTAGTTTTATAACTGTAAAGTAGGGTAAGTTGAACAGTACAAGCAAGTTGTGTTTTAACTGTCAGTCCTGTTACCTGAGAAGTAAGGTGAACTAAGAAGTTGAAGTTTAATGAATAGTGCTTCGGTTCATGTTTCATCTGCTCACTTCCAGACTTCTGAACCAAGTACAAAAGTCTTTAATGGGTCTTTTGACACCGAGTTTTAGAGTCTTGAATGAGGAGGAAATGTATTGTGCAGATGTTGCGTGTTAGTTCCGTACAAGTGACCTCAAGAGCTTTAGCAAGCAATGACAGAGGTGGAGGCTGGCTGGAGAGGCTTTCCTTTTGCTTCAGCTGTCAGCAAGTACAAAAACATGCGGAAGTTTATGAAGAGAATGCTGGGACATTTAGTCAGCAGAAGGAATTTGGCTTGTAGTCATTTGATCGTGATGTCAAAGAAGGGTAAGTTTGTTTTTGCTTCTTTGTCTGGTCCATGTTCACCACATAACAACATGTTGTGTCAATAAGTTGCTATCACTATGTTGCCTTTATCCGTTGAAGAAATCTACTAGTTGGGTGTTAGAGCACTCCATAGAACTCTGCTCTAAAAAACTCAAAAATCACA